TCGGTAGGTTTATCGATCAATTACCCAGTCTTATCGAATAGTGACAAACCCCGCTACTTGTTAAAAAAAAAAAAAGAGTACTCGATTACAGTATAATAAAGAAATCCAAAAGCGTATTTCACTGCATCAGACTTGACATTATTTTACTATTTGCTATGATATATAGTATATATTGTATGTGCCTAGCTCCGTATGTCTGAGCGAGAGAAAAAATATTTTGCGCATACTATATCGATAAAAAAGAAAACCAATGTTTGTAAACAAACGTATTCGATGAAAGACACACACACACACACAGAAAAATCTGCTTTTGCAAATGACCCTCCCGGCCTCTCTATAGACAAAAGTTCCGGTACAACGTTATTCTCCAAAGGTCATGCAATGTTTAACGACGAAAGCATTAATTTGATAGTGCGTACGCGAAACCCTACTCCGGAAAGCAACCAAGTACATCTTTTCCGACTGTCATGCCATTTCAAAAGCAAAACAAATAAACAAAAAAAAAAACAGAAAAAAAAAACGATCCTTTAACGACGTACAAGGCATGCAAGATGTTTGCACTGCGGCCCTTTTAACAAGACTCCAAACACGTTTCTTCATTTTTTTTTTTTTTTTAAGAATTTATTCTTTGGGAATATTCCTCCGGGCTAGTTCCGCCCCCCATAAAAACAATGTTCTTGCGACGAGTGCCGTGAAAAAAGAAAAAAAGAAAGAAGAAAAAGAACCCACATCAGCCGTATTTGACGATGAAACAAAGAGATGGGCTCTAGCTTTTTGTGCGCTCACTCCATTATTATGTTAGACCACTGGGCGCCATTAGACCAACGAGAGGTCCTCAGAAAACAAACGTTCAAATCTGAGGCGTTCCGTTTTTGTGGTTCGCTGGTGTTTTTCTCTTTTTATTATCTTGCTTTATCGTGCTTGTGCATTGAGTGGCAGTTCGTTCGCTGCGTCTGGGTAAGTGCTAAGCAAGTCAATTCGAGTGACGACGCGCCTGCTGGCTCGGGTGGAACGAAACCTCCGGAAAATCCGCGCCTTGTGCCTAAGCTGTGCGTTCCATTTTTTCTGTTCGTTCGTACAAAGTTCGTACTGTGCGGTTCTTATCTCTTTATGGACATGCTATGGGCCTTCGTGTCTGCGTTGATAATTCTAATTCGCGATTAAAGGAAACGCTAAAAAAAAGAAATCGACATCTCTTTTATTCAATTACTTGGCCGCGATTTCGACTTCGGTTCGATATCAGGTGGGCAGCAAGTGAGAAAACACCTCAAAGTTTTTTTTCGAATACACCGACACTTGTGTCAGTCGTTTTGTGCAAACCTATCGATTGCGAGCTACATATGTTTATTTCAACCCCAAACAATGTGTAGAAACGGACAGCGTAGTTTCGTTTTCTAATGAGTGGATAATCGACGCTAAGAGCAAGTCGAAGCGTCGCCGTGTTTTGTTCCCGTCTGAAGTGCTCGAGATGCATAACACAGGGCAAAACACCATCCTTGTACTGTATACGCTTTTCGCGTCACACTTTTGTGACTTGGCGTGGAAGCATCTCTGGTCTCGCGCCTCACCGAACACAGCCTGCGACTCCCTGATTAAAAAAAAAAAATTCCAATTAAAAAAAGAAAAACAGAGATTTCGTTTCCGAAATGGCCTTTTTTCATTCGCATTATCAGACATTGATTACTTGGAGGAGAGCATGTTTTGTAGCACAATTGTAGAGACCTCCACACACGTTTTTCCACATATCCCTCTTATTGTTGCATAAAAAGGCAGTTTTTTGTTTCTTATTTTCTTTAATTTTCGGGTAGATTCCCGTTTTACTCTATTTTATTTCCACCAAACGACGAAACAATACCCAAAATAAACAAAAACACGCCATCCCGATATTCAAATTGCCTCGCTTCCTGTACTCCCTTGGCCTCCGATCTAAAAAAAAAGTAGTAAAAAAACAAAAAAGAGTAAAATGTCGGTGGGAACGCTATTTAATTTCGAGAACTGTCCGTATCCATTACCATTGTGGATCCATTTAGAGGGGAAGGAGGGGGCGGGCGTCTGTTTCGGCGCAAAGTTTGGCACGCAACACTAGACGGGGCCCGCGTAAAAGGAAGGGATCCCGCCCGCTCGGTTGCGGAATCGCCGGGGAAGATTTTCCCTATTTGCATGCGCCAACGGGCGCCGCATCGCTTGGCTCGTATTCGCAGCGCGCAGCACGAAGGACCGCCCCTGAATCGGTTTTCCCGTCTCCGCTGTCTCCTAGCAATGCAGACTTCGGGCCGAAAAAAAGAAAACAAAATCCCGTCGGTGCCGCTTCCACTTCTCTATTCGTATTACGCAGTCATATACACTGTTCTATTTACTTTTCGCTCCTCTCATCTGGCTTTTTTGTTGGTCCGTTTTTTTTTTTTTTTGTGTGTGTGTGGGGGCGGACGGAGAGCACTCCAAGTAATCAGAGTTGTCTCTTTTTTTTTTCTAAGTGCAATATTTTTTTTTTTTTTTGTTCGTCGTTACATTCACGTGAACGAAGGGAATGCGTATAAAGAACAGCGAGTGCCGCCAAAATTGCCTGCGACGGCTCTGAGAGTGCGTTGGTCCTCACGGAATGACGCCTCACCGCCGCTGTGTGCTCCTTTGCAGTCGGCCCGAGCCCCCCCCCCCCCCCCCCCCCCAAAAAAAAAAAAAAGAAAAAAAAAGCGCCTTGTCTATTGCAGGGGCGCTCCGGGAATTTGGTCGTGCGGTGCTCGACCGGGATCGGCCCATTCAATCGCCCGCTCTGTGTGGAGGAGCGCGAGTCGTGCGAGCGACGAGCGAGTCCTTCGGCCTGGGACCTGATTTATAGCGAGGCCGCGCAGGAAAGAAACACACACTAGCTTTCGATTGTCGTGGCGCTGCGCAGACGGGTGCGTGATCCACTTAAATAGGTCGTATGTGCGCGAACGACTCGGTGTGAAGTGTATACACTCGGTCCCAGTCAGTCTCCCCGGGGGTACACGCTGGAAAGCTCGTTCGGACAGCGGAGGAAAAATTAAGGCCGCTGTCAAGAAGCTTGTTTCCGATCGGCGGCTTCTCGTTCCGCGCGCACACACCGAACGATTTTACGGCTCTGGTGTATCTACATTTGGACGAGAATTCAGAAAAGAAATAAAATAAAGTGTGTGGATTATAGTACGTGTTCTAATTAGGTACGTTTGTACCAGTGCTTGCAGCTGCATATTGTATGTTCAGTGAGACGAAAGTGAAGGTTATAGATCGCGATTTAAATTAATATGTAAACAAGGCCTTCCGAAGACATAAAAAAAAGTGTGCTGATGGCATTTATTCGGGTCTGTTCCGTGCGCGTATGTAAATTTGCATTAATTTCTAAATATGTACCTGTTATCGGGATATCAGCGAAATAGGACCACCGATTTGTATTTGACTATGTTAAATTTATGATATCCAGCAGGATCGATAATGAAACGCCTCGTACATACTCGAATTTCAAGTATGAAAATCAGACAGTTGGGCTGTGGGGGAAACGATAATTTTTCGCCTAAATCATACGACGGTGGAAAATATATATATTATTTAAAATTTTTGCTATTAATAGTTGCAAGCACCTTCGATAGATAGACAAAGCTAATGATGTAAAAACGCGTAAACGTAATTAAAAACAAAAAAAACAAAAAAACGTATCGGTATACGCTCTGAAGTCAGGTCGACAACGGGAACTTGCAAGATGGTTTCACCCTGAAAGGGTTCTGCGTCAAGGTGTGCTGTCTGTAGTCATGCCTTCAAAGCAAGCAATTCAGTTTAGAAAACTCTCCTGGTAAGTGGTATCTTTGCAAACGGAAATTCCTAAAGCAGGCATTGCTGTTTATTTATATTGTGTGCCTTAGGGGGAGAATAAAGCACGAGTAAGAACCTTCTGTAACCTTCATGAGATAATTTTTGTAGTTCTCTAATAAGATATCGATTGCTTTGTAAAGTTCGACAAGTTTTACTATATGTGTATGATCCAGCTACCTTGCCGGCATTTAGTGTAGTGTAAACCCACGAAATGTTATTTCAAGCTCTCAACTCAGAGTTGACACATTTGAATGTTTCCAATTGGTCTGAAAATTTAGGTTTGAAAAAGATACCGGCGCTGCAAATAACCCTTAGAATTGGGAGTGGCAAACTCCAATAATACACCACGACGGTCATGTCGGAAGCCTATTAAAAACTAAAATCACTTCCGTCACAATCGTTTAGCTTTTATAGTACAAAAAAACGTATAGATCAATTGATCTACCTGAAGGAAAGAGATCGTCTTGATGAAGGCTGTTGAGGAGATGCTCGGCGAATGCAAACATTTGTCAAAGCTCAAGCACGCAACATACATGAACGTCGATCTAGCGACAAATGGTTCACACCCACGACACCCTCAGACCGAAAATGGACGCGGGAGCAGGCAAGGCAGGCTCGCCGCTCGCGGTCCTGACAAGGCCACCTGGACCACACAGGAGGGCCCGTGCACCGGAATATCGACGCCACCAAATTACGGCCGAGCGCGTGCACAGGTTGGACACGAGTGCTGCGTCATAGTTCGGCTGAGTTTCGCGTTCAATCAGTCAAACGCGACTAAGTCGAATGCACTACTCGCGTTCAATGCGTGTCTCGCGCCCTCGTGCCTTAGCCATACTCCTCGTATATATCATACAAAGAAGCAGGGCATTCGATGCACACACAACGCACACGCATATTCGAAGCGTGTTTGCTTCACGCATATATATGCTTGGAACATGCCTAAAAACAGTTTTTGCATAACCAATGTGACAGAAACACAAGTAAGAAACACGTCCCAGACAGTGTTTTCATACCGTCTCTGGTCCGATGCCATAAAAGCAGCGTGATGGCGGCTTCTTGGGGTAACGTCGAAAATTCAGCTTTCCGTCCTCGCTGGGAGATGTTGACTTTAATTAGTCTCTAGGTAGGGGGTGTGGGTGCTGATCCTCCCCTCGACGGCGTGTGCTTTCCCGCAGTCCCCTTCGGCCTGCCGAGCGCCATGCCCCCCGTGCCACCCCGGAGGATCGGCCACCCGTACCAGAACCGGACGCCCCCCAAGCGGAAAAAGCCCCGCACGTCCTTCACACGCATGCAGATATGCGAGCTCGAGAAGCGCTTCCACAAGCAGAAGTACCTGGCCAGTGCGGAGCGGGCGGCGCTCGCCAAGCAGCTCAAGATGACCGACGCCCAGGTCAAGACGTGGTTCCAGAACCGCAGGACAAAGTGGAGGTGAGTCTCCTTTCACTCGGTGTGCATACTGTTCGCCCCGACCTCCCGATAACCTTCCCAGCCGGGAAATCGCGACATCCTTCTTGGTATGTTTCCACGTCGCGCGGATGAGTTCGAATTGGCGTTGCGGCACTTTCGCGATGTCCAGTCCGGGTATATGGTGCTACAGGAAGCGTTTAGGATATGGTGGGTTTCAATGTATTGATTCTTGCTTGCGTGGAATATAGCACGCTATGCGGAGCGCAAGTCGTCTGCTTCTTTCTCAGGGGTTGTGGTGACGAGGACGTCGGCGAGCTCTGATTGGCTCTGATTGAAAGGATAGTGGGTAGACCTCAATGCTAAATGCCTTGAGGTCTACTCACTATTTTTTTACATCAGCCAATCAGAGCTCGGCATTCTGCCATGATCGCAACCCCAGTGCAAGAAGCAGACGAACTTGCGCTCCGCATAGTTTTCTTTAAAAAAAACTGTAAGCGGTGTTTAGGACATGTGCTATTTCGTTTACGGTTCACTCAATAGCCCAATATTCGTTTGCGCAAAGAAAATCTAGGCCGCTAAGTTTAAACGTGTTTTTTTTTTTTTGTTGTTGTTTTTTTTTGCTTTTCTGTACTGCAAATTAAGGAAATATGCGTATTTCACTTCATTCTCAGAACCGTAAAGTCAAATGTCGTAATCGTCTGTGGGCATCACTGAAGTTTCACAAACAAGGAGACGTCGCTTGCAGTTGCCACTCTGCAGCTAAAGAAGGCATAAACAGATGGTACATGTTGTGGCTCCGCGTATTTGACATGCCTCTTAAGGCCCGTTCACACACTTGCGACTCCTAAGGACCGAGTGCCCTTCCGACCTCTTCAAATTTCTTTCGACGATAGAACACACTGGCACGCTAGCGCCATCTATGCGGTGACCCTGGAACTACGTTTGACCGGAGCGAAGGTTTGGCGGTGTTTGCGAGGTCAAACGTACAAACAATCTATCAAAATTGTCGTTTATAACATTGACAAAAGGTTTCTGAGCCAGCAAAAATATATATACGGGATTGCCAAGTGTTCCACAGCTACCCGATCGGAGGCGTAAGTGTGCGTTCTCTCGTCGTAAGATATTTTAAGAGGTTTCGAGGCACACGGTCCTCCAAGAAGTCGCAAGTGTGTGACGTGGCTTTAGTGGTATACCATACGTGTACCGCTGTGTTCACCTGACGTGTAACACCATATTCATGATCGTTCGTAAGAACAAAGTATGACGCAAGGCGTCTCGAAGGCGGTCTTTACAATGCCACGGGTAAGACCCGTGGGGTTTGTTGTCGTTGGCGACGATACGTCGTCTTTATCGGAAGGTCTCCTCAGCTTTCGGCAGAGTAAATTGGCGTCTGATGATGACTATAGCCTTAAAGCCGCGCCCCACTGCTAATAATATGACATACATTTAAATATTCCATACACATACATATTTCAAGCAAACGTGCTTCGAAAACGCTTTAGGCGTGCATGCCGGCAGATCATTTTATAGCCTCGTATCTGCAGCCAACATCGCGTATTTTTTTCTGATCTGTAAGTATAGCGATTTCGTCAGGCCCACCGCGTTCTTTACGTGGAGCGGTTAACAAACATGTACCGCCCAACGGACAATAGGGCGTTGTATATAGTATTTCGCTTCGATCACTCGGATAACGATGCCCCGCTCTCCATCGGCGCCATTGTTCATGCGCATCGACTCGCGTTATCGGTGTTATCGGACCGATCTACTACAACTCCCCGATAAACCACCGCGACGACCATCTTACCGCCATTTCCACGTTTCTCAGACGCGACATCACAAGCATAGGACACACCAGAAGCGCCACCTGAATGCATTAACGCGATGTATAAAAAAAAATGCGCAGATGACTTTTTTTGTATTTTCTCTAGGCAGATCAGTCCAAAAGCGTCAATGCAACTACTTGTTCGATTTCCAGCCTCGCTGCGAGGGCCGTACACCGGCGGTGCACGTGACGCGCGCCGGAAGCTTGGGCCACCCGATCTCTCCTAAGCGTATCCGAATGAAAATTGCGGGGTATGATATACGTCTGCTCCCGTGCACCATCCTCCCTCGTGCGACGTGGTGGGTCGCTTTGGCCCCTGCGAGCACTATCTTTAAAACGCTGCGCCGCTACGCTTCGCCGTCGTGGCAGCGCACCGCGGCCACGCCCCTCCGATCCCCGAGAAGAAAAAAGAAAAAGAAGAGATGAGGCGATTGTTGGATTTGCGTAACCGTGCAAGCCAGCTGGAAATAGCCGGCAACTCGACGCGATGGATTTCGGTGCCGGCTGTGAGATGGGAAGATATCCTCCGGGTATATAGTCACTGATATATCCTAAGAAAAGCGGGGCTTTGCTTATTATGTTCACACTGACTGATTTCTGCTTGGTTCTTCGGATGCTCAGGAATTACCGCACCCTGCGTTTCTCAAGCAGTCAGTGATTATAATATGTTGATACTTTTGTATCTCTACTGTACTTACCTTTTTTCCTTCTACGTTTTTTTTTATTATTTTTTTTTCCTATACGCAGCTAAAGGATGCTACAATTATCAATTCCTATCAGAAAACGTCTATAAATTTGCACTCGTACCAAATTGTTTAATGTGATTTTTTTTTTCTCTTTTTGTTTTTCGGATTAACTGGTACGATTAAATTGTGAGAAGGTATGGATGCCGTTTTCGGGATACCTTTCTCGAGCAATGTTTCCTTTGTTAAGCTAAATTATATATAAAAACAATGCCCTAATAGGACACATTTTTTCCATTTTCCAACAAACGAAGTCTCCATATTTGCGTGCAAGATTGCCCTCTTCAATAGTTTCATGGCCAACTCGATCACTTTTGGATTTGTTTTGAATTTGTTCAAGATATATGTATGCCGGGTGTACCATTTTAATTCGAACCAATTTATTTTTAAAAAAATCCGTAAAAGATTCACTAATACAGTTTGAGCAGGTGAGTTATGCGGCTAGGGGGACATCACATAGGTGTCTAATCTTTGCGATAAGTCGGATAATTAACTAAACCTTCTTAATTAATTTTTTTAATTAGTAAATAATCATATGGTTTCAATCAGGAACATGCTGAGCATAATCGAAAGCCACTATACCAGTAAATTTTAGATGACTTGAAGCTCGTGGGAAACTTGGGGGCGCATTTACGTTCCCACACGTGCAGCAGGCGCAAAGCTAGCGGTGGCAAAACGCCAGACTTGGACGTAGTTCAACTACTCTACTCAAACTACTGTAGTTTAACTACTTTTTCGAGTAACTTGGTAACTTTCAATTACAACTTGATTTGGGTAATTAGTAGTTTAATTTAACTACTTTTTTCAGGTAACTTCTACTCAAATTACTAACTACTTTCGAAATTATAGAGTGCTAATTTTGCCCATCACGAAAGTTTGAGCGCAGAAATGAATAAGACGCCGGCAGATGAGGTGGCATTCCCTAACAAGGGGCCCCCTGTTCGGGAAGGCGTCCTTGGGTCAAGGTGGCGACGAGCAGCCAAAACATAACACTGGCACGCACGAACTCAGGAAGAGATGCTTAACAAGCCTTGATTGGGTATTGACCTAATCCGGTAATGCACGCAGGCGCCGCGTTTCCAGCTGCAACCGTGAAAGACGGGGACACTCCGAGAGTTGTTATCTGTCTTTAGAGAGTTCTGACTCAAGCGGTAGGTTCCACGGGAGGCGCCACTGGAATGACCTCGCAGCTGGGCGCCTGTTCCCATGGTCGCCTTGTCGTCAGCGCATACGCCTTTGCAAAGCCGGACTCCCCCACGCACAAACCCTGGCACGGATAATCCGTTCATGGGAGCACGTTCCCGCTTCCAGCTGTAACTGTATACGAGCGACGATGCTTGTTCACGTAATTCTTCGTGTCCTTCCGACCATCCATGCCTGGGAGACCTAATCTTTGTTAAAAACGATTTACTTGTCAGGCGTGTCAGGCGCGTCAGAATATTGTAATCGCCGGCGAGGATTGCGAGTTACCCTTGGGAGATCCTTTGGTTGGACCCGGCGTCAGCGGCGAGGTATACTTCGGTTCATCTTCTGTTAAACCAAAACATTTCTTTTTTCAGTAGCGTAGCACTAGCACTACAACGGGACGCGCAGTCGTCCGGATGATCTCATCGTCGTGGCGCGAGACTTGAACCCTTGACGGTCTGGTGCACTCGCTCAGCGTACTCTCAGAACGACGTCGGAATAAAGAGGGGCCAGTCATAACAATCTCAACTTGACGAGGAAAAAAGAAAAAAAGTAGGAAAGTTAGTTATAAAAGACCCTCTAACCGAGGCAAACCTCACATGTTTCGTCATGGATACCTAAGATGCCGACACTCGCTTACTCGACCCTGCACAGCCTGTATCTCAAATTGAACGCTGCCGTTCTATTCAGTGCCACGGTGGAACGTCTATTTACCTCGGCTGGGGACGTCTTTAAAAGGAAATGGGGAAAACTCTCCTATCAAGAACTCTGAAAGTCAATTGCTTCTGGGAGCGAATAAATTATTTTGGCGCAAACGCAAGCTATAAATGGACTGCATTTATTTTAGGCTCGCAGGGTTTTTCATTGACCAAAACTGCTGTTCATTTCGCTACCACAAAAATATAAAAAAAGTAACTTCGAAAGTAACTTCAAAGTAACTCGCTACTTTTTAGAGTAGTTAGTAGTTTACTCAATTACTATTACAAATGCGTAATTTCTACTCTACTCCAATTACTTTTGGCGTCGATACTCAGTAACTTAACTATACCTTTTTTGAGTAATTTGTACATGTCTGCAAAACGCGAATGGTTCGATTCTCATCGCGTTTCGCCACTGCTAGCTTTGCACGAGCGGGAACTTTGGTGCGCCCCCGAGTTTACTAGTCGTTCTAAAATTGACTGATATGGTGGTTTTCGAATATGCTCGATATGTTCGTGATTGAAACCATATAATTATCTTACTAATTAAAAAGTTAATTAAGGAAGTTTAGT